CCTGTCTTCCTCTTTGCTGATCAACGGGTCCTGGCCATCAGTCATTGGCCAGATCCCATTGACTGGCTTGATGAATCCTACTCGGAGAAGCTGGACCATATACTAGGTATGTGATCCAGAGCAGGAGAGCAGCTCTGCTGCCGTATAACTAAGTTATACGGTCAGCAAGCTGTTAAAAGTGAATAATATTCAGCTGAGTCCAATAAGATCTGAAAATGAGTTACATGTCTGATTCTTATACTTAAAGCTTTTTACAGACAGCTGGAATTGGCCCTCCAAGGCCTCATGCACAACAGGCGTCAAAAACGCTGCTTTTAAGGATGTTTGACTGTTTTTTTTTTGTTTTGTTTTTTCACCTCTAAACACTTATCTATGTTAGCATGTGTGTCCATGCACACACAGGCATTTGCAGGTATTTAGAGACAGAAAAAAAAAACGAGGGCCCAGTGTGTTCAGAAGAGGAGTGTTTCACTGAAAAAACATTTGACGCACCTAAAAGTGCTTAAAATGTAAATAAACTCCTTTTTGCATATTTTACCTACAGGTAAGCCATTAATAAGGCTTACATGTAGGTACTGTACATATCTCCTATATGTGCACCGTTTAGGAGATATGCACTCTACAAGTGGCGGTGATGTCACCGGCGCATATGCACTGCGCTCTCAATGGACGGCGTGCTCTTAGCTTGCAGGAAGAAGATTTTTTTTTTTTTCGCAGTTTACTACCGTTACAGGCTCTAGGCATGTTTAGCATTCATTCCTTTATTCAAATGGCCAGAATTGGCTTTAGGCGTGTTTTAACGCTGCTCTTTCCTCCCCTAGATGCCTTGCCAGTGCACAAGAAGCCTTAAAGGAGAAGTACAGCCAAAGCTCTTTTGACTCTATTTCTCCGCTGAAGTCCGCTGTCAGCTGACCTCACTCAGCCGGTCCAGGTTGAGGAAAGATCCTGATTGTTATAGTCGGGATCCACCCAAGAGTCTGGAGCGGCACCTGGCTCAGCCTCTCAGTGAAGCGCTGAGAGCCTGAGCCAGTCGCTCCCTCCCCCTGCACAGCCCAGCGCTCCAGTGAGTGCTGGGTGGGGGGGGGGGGGGGGGGCGGCAGAGCAGACAGCAGTGACTAACAGTCAGAACTCAGTGATCAGCCAGTCATGTGAGCAGCACCTCACCCCTTCAGTCTCCTCTTACTAACCTACTAAGTGACATATCGGCTTGGATGTCACTCCACTTCTTCAAACTCAATCTTTCCAAAACTGAGCTCTTAGTATTCCCTCCCCTGACTTCTCCATCAAGATCAATAACACAATCATCAGTCCCTCCCCTCATGCCAGGGTCCTAGATGTAATCCTGGACTCCCATCTGTCCTTTCAGCCCCAGATCCAATCGCTGACAAAATCGTGTAGACTTCACCTCCACAACATCTCCAAGATACGCCCGTTCTTAACCTCGGAAACTACTAAGCAACTCATTCACTCCCTGGTTATATCTCGCCTTGACTATTGTAACTCCCTACTTATTGGCCTACAACCTCATCGCAGAATATCCCCACTCCAGTCTATCATGAATGCTGCTGCCAGACTCATCCACCTTACTAACCGTTCTGTATCTGCCATCCCTCTCTGCCAATCCCTCCACTGGCTTCCCATTGCCCAACGGATAAAATTCAAAACACTAAAAATAACGTATGAAGCCATTCATAACACTGCCCCAAATTACATCACCGATCTGGTCTCTAAATATCACCCATACCGTACTCTCCGCTCCTTGCAAGACCTCCTGCCCTCTAGCTCCCTTGTCTCCTCCTTCCATGCTCGCCTCCAGGACTTCTCCAGGGCTTCCCCCATCCTCTGGGACTCCCTACCCCAATCTATCAGACTATCACCTACTCTGCTCACTTTTAGGCGATCACTGAAAACCTATCTCTTCAGGGAAGCCTATCCCGCCCTCTGCTAATACTGGAATCCTCTACTCTTCCAACCACTCCATCCCCCACAGTTATTACGTCTTGTACCACTAACCTCTCCCTCCTAGATTGTAAGCTCCAAGGAGCAGGGCCCTCCTATCCCTCTTGTATTCTTGTATTGTTACTGTATTGTCTCCCACTATAATGTAAAGCGCTGAGCAAACTGTTGGCGCTATATAAATCCTGTATAATAATAATGTGATCGCTGAGTACTCACACTTAGAGCCAGTGGGGGACAGATGCAGCTTTGGTCTGATGTTACATCCACCTAGGTAAGTATAAATGGGGGGGGGGAAGCCCTACTTTTTTACAGTTCATAATCCCAGAGGCGTTGCATGGGTTTCCTGCTTAGGTAATTACTTTAGTTGGCTTTTACAGTAGTCACGTGGTTGGAAGCTCACCCTTTTGGCCCCTGAACGCACAAATTGAGCGGCAGATGTCAGCGACATCGCAGTCACCATGCTGGGAGCACCAGGTGAGCATGATCCCAGCACAAACAAAGATGGCGGCAGTACAGAAATATGTGGCAGTTTAGCATTAAAAAGCCCACAACTGTTCTATGTACGGCCAGCAATAAAGAGTAACTCCACTTTTGAGAAAGTGGAGGAAGAAAAAAAAAAACATTCCCCTCTGGGTGATCTACTGTATGTACATTGCAAAGCATTTTAAAAAGCTTTGTTGCAGATTCCTACCTTTTTGTTCTGAATATATAGTTTGTCTGTGTCCATGTACAAAGTGAATCTGTATGGGAGTGGTTTTACAATTATCAGTCAGCTGCTGTACCTGCAGGGCTCTAATGAGAAAATTGACAAGGTCTGAATTCCTTTTTGATGAGATCTTCACCTAAAATGACATTTACGTTGCAGAGGGTGCAAAAAATCTGACTTGCATCTAAGTGCAAACGTCTGGGGAAAATCAGTAAGCCAATCACACAAGCAGGAAATTACATGTGCGGGGGGGGGGGGGGGGGGGGGGTATACACTGTCTGTGTACAGAATGCCTCCAGATAGCTGTATTGCATTTTACAGAAAATGCCGATTGAAAAAGGGAATTTAATTTTTAATAACGTTCAATTACAATATGACTTGAGTTGCAGTTGTATATGTTATACTATTTTTTTATTCCCATGAAAGTGGAGTTACCCTTTAAAGTGCTGATTGAGCCCTTTGCATCCTTTTCACAACTATATATATTCCTTTTGTTTACCAGATCAGAGAAACCACACACAAGGGGGAGGAGGATTTGGGGTTACCTGTCCATCTGTATGTTGCAGGTCCCCTATTTTTCTTTCCTGTAGTGTTGTATGTACTGTTTAAAGGCATGAATTGTGTTACTATGCATGTTTTGTTTTATGTTAAAATGTGTTGCCTAGGTCCTAGGTCTTCAGCGATTTCAGCCTACAGAAGGTTTCAGGCAAACAAGAACAAGTGAAGAAAAGGGTCAGCTGGCACCAGAAGGGTGTATAAAGATAAACCACTTTATACAAACAAGCACTTGTTGCCATGACGATGAAAGTTGAGCATCACAGCTCAAGTGTTATTTGTAGAACTACCTTTCCTTCTGTGTTTTCAGGCTTCCAGTCTGCTTAGTGTGATGTGTGATAGAGCGGTGACTGAAAAAAAGGTTTATAGTTAGTTCAGATAATTGAGCAGCTTATAGGAGATGTCTTTAATTGCAGAGCTGGCAAGGCACTAAGGTATGCATACAAGATAGACAGGGAGGGCATCCTACCTTCCTCGTTTTGGAGAAATGCATTCTCATGAGCATATTTTTCCATCACATCGTATTTAAAATAAACTTTTAATGCAAGAAATGTGGGGTTGAATGTGGATGTGGTTTTTCTGTTCTTGTTGGACTTTTTTTCTGATGGAATTTTTTATGAATTGATCGTTTTTCACAGTATCTAGCGCTGCACTTTTTTTTGTTATTTATTAAACAAATGTGGGGTTACCAGATTAGTTTTGGATTGAGCAGGGTACCTCACTTCCAGGAACAGTCAGTAACATCACCACTGAACTCCTGCACGTTCTTGAGACCCATGTGTCCTGAAAGGGATGGTGGTGTCAATGGCTCCTCCAAGGACAGGACGTGAGAGTCAAGTAATAACTTTGTTGAAAAGCTACCTTTTTGGTGCTATTTTAATATAATATAATGTATTAGAGAAGATAAGATAACCACTTGCCCTGGGTTACCCCCTTCCACCAGGCCACTGTGCCCTGCTGAGGATTTAACTGACAATTGCCCCTATCCTGAAATGTATCCCTTTTTTTTTCCCCCAGGCTAGGTTCACATTTGCCGATGTGCCGCTGTGGATCCGCACGAAAACGGTGCTGCATTGACATTATTTAACTGACAATTGCATGGTCATGCAACGCTGTATATAAATGAAATGTATGTCCTTTTTTTCCCCACTAAGGCTAGGTTCACATCTGTGCGGGTGGTGCCGCTGTGGATCCGCACGAAAATCCGTGCAGCCTGCACCACCTGCACAGAGGAATGCGGACCCGCCGGCGGATGACATTTGTTCTAATGGCACGCTGCCCGTACTGGAAAACGCAACTGTACTGGGAATCGAGTTCCCATGCGGGCTATGGTTTCCAAAGTCACAGGGCACGGGAGTCCATTCAAATGAATGGGCTCTTGTGCCGCGCAGAACGCAGCCCGCACGTCTGCACATATGTGAACCAGGGCTAATAGAGCTTTCTTTCAGTGGTATTTGATCACCTGTGCGTTTTTTTATTTTTTGCGCTCTAAACAAAAAAAGACCTGACAATTTTGAAAAAAAAAAAAAACCCCTATATTTTTTACTTTTTGCTATAAAACATATCCAATAAAAAAATTTTAAAAATCAAATTTCGTCATAAAGTTAGACCAAAATGCATTCTGCTCCATGTTTTTTGCTTAAAAAAAAAAAATCCCAATACATATAAATTAATTGGTTTACGTGAAAGTTATAGTATCTACAAATGGCGGTATTGATACTGGAATTTTAATTTACATTTTTTTTTTATAGTAATGGCAGCGATCAGCAACTTTCTTGCTGCGTGTGGCATTCTGACACTGGGGGGGAACTGACTGCCACTGACATCCCAATGACACTAATACAGTGATCAGTGCTAATAAAAAGCACTGACACTGTACTAATGACACTGGGCAGGAAGGGTTAACATCTGGGACGATCAAAGGGTTAACTGTGTGATGCTTTACATGATGTGCTGTGTGTGTTTTACTGGGGAAACATGCTGCGGTGTATTTCTCTGCACAGCACAGCAGAGAAATACACAGCAGCATGTTATTGCTGGCAGAGAGAGAGACTTGTGTTGTATACACACAGGTCTCTCCCTTCAGTGTTACTCGCCGATTGCCATCCGTAGCCACCAATGGCAGTTTGGGTAGGTTGGCGCGTGCGCCCCCTACCCAGAAATGCAAATTGTGTGTGCGTGTGTGTGTGTGTGTGTGTGTGTGTACACACACACATGATTTTGCACAGCCCTGCCGCCCTGTAGCAGTACTTCTGCTATAGGGTGGAGGGGAAGCGGTTTAAACAGTAACTCCACTTTCGTTGAGAAAAAAACATTCCCCTCTAGGTGATCTATGTACATTGGAAGGATTTTAACATACTTTGTTGCATATTCCTGCCTTTTGTTATTCTGTAGATATAGTTTGTTTCTATGTGTCCATGTAAAAAGTGAATTTGTATGGGAAGTGGTTTTACAATTATCAATCAGCTGCTGCATTGTATTCTATGTATGTGAAACCGTAACAAGACTGCAGAAAAAGTAATGCAAGAACTACTTTAGAAATCACGCTGCAGCAAATCGCAAATATTAAAACACTAACATTCCTTAGATGCGATTTCAATTCCCAAATCTAACCTGAAATCACACCAGAATGACCGGGCACTAAGTACCAATTCACACCAGATGCAACATTGAAATCGTGCTACTTCACTTGAAGTAGTGCAATTCAAAGTCGAAGACCGGTGCGATTTCAGATGTTTTGTCTGACATCTATGTGACTTCATGCACAGATGTCATTGTAAGTCACACCTGAAATCACTGAAAATAGTGCAGGAACTATTTTCAAAATCGGTGTGAGTTCAACAGTTCCATTGATGAATTTGGAACTGTCAAATCGCATGACAAGTCGCGCTGTTGTGAACCAGGGCTTAGATGTGATTTCCCTTTGGGAGTGTCTCACCAAAAATGACAAATTCTTGTTGCAGGGAATGCTTAGAATCTGACTTGAATTTTGGTGCAAACTTCTGGGAGCTCAGTAAGCCAATCACGCGTGCAGGAAAGTACATATTTGGGGGGTGTTTTGTACATCATCTGTGTACAGAACGCCTACAGAATGCTATATTGCATTGCCATTTACAGAAAATTACAGTGCTGCAGATTGAAGAGAAAAGGTCATTTTTAATACCATTCAATTACATTATTATTATACAGGATTTATATAGTGCCAGCAGTTTGTTCAGCGCATTACAATGTAATGGGAGACAATACAGCAACAATATAGTTCAATACAAGAGGGTTAGCTGGGCCCTGATCCTTGGAGCTTACAATCTGAAAGAGGGGGGCTGGTAGAACAAAAGGTAATAACTGTGGGGGATGGACTGATGGGAGAAATAGAAGATTCGGTTATTATTTGAAGGCAGGTTCAGCTTCCCTGAAGAGAGGTTTTCAGGGATCGCCTAACAGTGAACCGAATAGGAGATAGTCGGACAGATTGGGGTAGAGAGTTCCAGAGTATGGGAGAGGCTTTGGAGAAGTCCTGGAGACAAGCATGAGAGGAGGAGACAAGGGAGCTAGAGAGCAAAAGGTTTTGGGAGGAAGCAGAGAGGACAGTTTGGGCGATATTTGGAGACAAGATTTGTGATGTAGTTTGGGGCAGAGTTTTAAATGGCTTTATATGTTATGTTTATATGTTAATGTTTTGAATTTTATTCATTGGGCAATGGGAAGCCAGTGGAGGGATTGGCAGAGAGGGATGGCAGATATCAAATGGTTGGTAAGGTGGATGAGTCGGGCAGCAATATTCATGATAGACTGAAGAGGGGATAGCCTGCGATGAGGTAGGCCAATGAGGAGGGAGTTACAATAGTCAAGACTAGATATAACAAGGGAGCGAATAAGTTGCTTGTATCACAATTTTTTCCCAGTGAAAGCGGAGTAACCCTTTAAACCTTGCATGTTCATGTAGGGTCCACTGTAAGTATGGTCTGATTCAGTGACCTGAAACTAGTGTGCAGATCAGAAATTGCATCCTGTCCTGTTCTCATAGTTGAAGGTTAGTGACTGGTACTGAAGTCAGAGGGTGAGCATGACAGCCAGTCAATTAGCATCATCATTTAACAAAGACTGCCTCCATTTTTCTCTAGTGAACTTTATTTTTTAGTTCATCACTTGGTTGCTGTCATTGTCTTTGAATTCTGTAAAGCGTGAGTGCCTAGCCGTCTTAATGGAGTAAGAACTCCATATTCCACCTCATAAAATGTCAGTAGATATGGAATCTATCAGTACATTATTGCAGTAGGTAAAAGGTGCATTATGTAATGTATTTAATGTATTTAGTCTTGGATTGTTTGCCTCTAATACATGACAAATAGTTAACAATCTTCATTATCCTTTTTTTTTTTTTTTTTTTTTTTTTTTATAGTGTGTATATATATATTTTTAACATACTAATGGGTATATCCTGATCAATATACTTCTGCCTATCTTCTATATTAAAATATATTTCAATATCAAATCGGAAAATTGGCTTTTAAAATAATAAAAATTTAAAATATTATTATTTTTTTTTTTTTTGAGAGACAGGGTCATTTTTAGCCCTGGTTAACACTGAATGCAACTTTGAAATCACGCTACTTCACCAGAAGTAGCGCAGTTTCAAAGTTGCAGATCAGTGCGATTTGTACCTCCTGATTTCACTGCAGCTTGGGACTTCATTTAACAAAGTCAATGCAAGTTGCAGTGAAATCGGAAAAAAGTAGTGCAGCAACTATTTTTGAAATCACGCTCCTTCAAATTGTGCTGATTAAGACCGTGCCATAGAAATGCATTAGATGCGACTTCAGGTGCGGTTTGTAAATGGCATGTCGCACCAGTGTGAACTATGGCTACTACATGGAAATAGGATTCCTCGTGCACTTTCGGGGTATTTTCTTAAAGAAAATCTGAAACAGCTGTGCATAGTAATAAATCAGCTCTTAAGACTCCATTCACACTTGTGTTACTTGTCATGCGACTTAAAGTTGCATGTAAAGTCACAGTCCATATATTTCAATGGAAGCCGTTCAAATCTATGCGACTTAACATGACAGACTGCAATGTAAATTCTCAAAAGTTGCATGAAAGTCACATCCTGTTATCAATGCAACAGTTGTGAAGCGGTCAACAGCCCAAGTCACACCCATGCAGAGTTGCATCAAAGTTGCAATGGAAATTGCACGACTTTAGAGTTGCACAAGTGTAAATGGAGCCTAAAGCAGATATAAGTTCTGCAGGATACTCACTTCCAACCTCCAGGGATATGACAGGCTACATTCCTCCCCAGCCGTTGTCATCTTCTCCCCAGGCTGCTTCCAGGTTCCAAATTTTCAGCCTCTTGAGTAACCAGCGGGGGCTGATGTGATCCCATGCATGCACATAGAAGTACATTCAATAGAAGATGCCAGGCAGGCAAGAGTGTCTTATTGCAGAAGGGACATAGCATGTCTCTAAAGAGTTGCCCACTCACAGTTTTTTAATTTCTAAGTCTAGTTTTTTACTTTTAAGCTTTGAAAATGAAAGATAGAAGCTGATTGGTTGCCTTGCACAACTGCTCCAATTTATGTCTGCACCAGTCCTAAGCTGAGTACACACTATAAGAAAATTTAAAGAAAAATGTTTGTAAAGGGAAAGATCAAACATTTCTCTGATCGTTTAGTATAGTGCTTACAACAGCCAATTCCAACTGTTTGGGGGAAAAAAAAAAAACCTGAATATGCAAATTTTTATTGTACGTGAAGACAATGTCTGATTTTCGGAATGAAATGCGCATGATTAGAATCAAATTACGACTCGCAAGAAGGTGGCAATGAACATAGAAATAGTAGACAAGATGGTTTGCCCGATTTTTTTTTTTTTTTTTTTTTTTTCTTTCATAGTGTGTACTTTAGTAAATTTATATCAAAACTTTAGTTATTCTGCTGTGTGCATGCTTAAAAATGCCATTGCATCATCCCGGTGATGTCATTACGCCAAACGTTGTGTTCCATATGCGCTCCACCTGCGTTCCAGCCCTTGTTCTGTTCCTCTCACATCACCCAGCCAGCTATGGACCTAGAAAGAAGATTGTGTTGACCTCTGTTGGTCCCGGACTTCACTTGATCCTAGATGTGCCTGTCTTTTACACGCATGTCTGGGAAAGATATCGTATCCGGATTGTGAATGTTAATTGGGAACGTCCCATGGCCACGCCCATAATAGTCTTCATACCGATATATTAGAACACAGCCCCTCTGCCAATCAGGTTTGAGAAAGGAGCTGATTGGTGCTCTGAAACTCGGCATCTTGGCAACCCAGGTCTTGGATCCTCCTCCTCCTGACATCACATCCGGTCGTGTTCCATGGTGGTTTTAGTGCCACTTACAGTCTCACGCCTGTCAGGACTTTCTACAGCGGTGGTTACCGCGGTCTGCTACCACTTGGACCCGGTCTCTATCTCCCACACCACCACCAGTGGATCTGACTTTGAGGCCTTTTTCATTTCATAAATGCACTGTTCATCTTTGAATATGAGTGCATTACTGATGATTTTTAATAAAGTGTTTCTAATGCTGCACTTAGAGGCGCCCCTTTGTGCTTTCTCTTAATACAGAAGGGACCCATTCTAGTCCTTTTGGTGGAGCTGTCTACATGGTGCATAATCTATTTATGGACTATTTTAATAGTTTGAACTTGATGGACTTATGTAATTGTTATTCATTTGGCTCCTTTGTCCCAGGTGGACTAGGGTTGCGCCATAGAATTGTATTGTTTATCAACACTTTACTGCAACACATTATGCACTGCAGCATAATACTTTGACATGCAATGCACCAAAATAAGATGTCATGTGCAGCAATCTGCATTCCTCAATAATTCTAGTTTATCTGGCCAACTGTTAAAATACAGGAATGAGCCATATGGGCTGGAGAGATGAGGGAAGGAGTCACTGCTTCAAATCCCCCTTTCACTTTAACAGGAAGTAAGGAGTACCTGGAAAATGTGAAAAGGAAATGTGTTGATTAGCATTGACTCAGTAGGCTCAACTCAAGGACACAAAGAAAATAATTGTTTTCTATGTGCCATCTGTATGTGCGTTGTGTAAAAATTCTG